TCAGCCCCTTTAAATCCCCATTTCAGCCTTCCTCAGCCCCCAACCCAGCCCATCCCGGTATTGGGCCTGGCAGTGGAGTGGAGACCTCGGGCTGGGGGGGGGGCTCAGGACTCCCTGAGACACGGGGGTGGGGGTGAGGCGTGTGTGGTGCGGCCAGGTGCAGAGCCGTGGGGACGTGGGGAGCGGAGGCTGGAGACGGGGATGGAGCTGTGGGGCTTCGGGGCCTGGTGTGCTGCGTGGACGGTGAACCCTGTTTGTGGCTGAGAGGTGAAGGGTGGTATTTCAGAGGTGGATGGGGCCTGGGCTGCACACATTGCCGCTTTAGGGCTCGGGGGCTGCTTTATGCTTGTTCTTTCTTTCTTTCTTTCCTGGCTGGACGAGGGGGAAGAGGGAAGGAGGGGAAGGCTCTCTTATTGGGCCTGGCTGGGTCAGGGGGGGCAAATGCAGAGCGTGGATGGATGCGAAGTTTACACCCAGCGAGAGGAAGTGGAGTTAGACAACTCCATTCCGCTGCAGTCCTTATAGACCTTATTACGCCTGAAGGAGTGGTCTTCCAGTTTTCTCTTCGTTCTTTCCTCTTGTAGTTAAAGACTAGACACCAGCCACCCAACCACCTTTATTTCTTGGCAGGAGGCACTACCATTTGATTTTTGTGGTTGTTGTTTGTTTTGTTTTCATTCGAGGCGAGCGTGCTACCATTTGAGCCACAGCTCCTCTTCTGGGTGTGTGGTGGTTCATCATAGACTTTGCTGCACAGGCTGGCTTCAAACTGCCGTCCTCACATACCAGCCTCCCGAGTAACTAGGAGTTGGGCCACCAGCTTCAGGCTTTACTTTTTGTCTTTTTTTTTTTTTCCCCTAAACACACACAAACACCAGGTTTTGTCCTGGTGCCTTCAGGCCTAAGACTCAGGTGGTTGCTTTGGAAAGCACATTTCTGAGTGGCTGCAGGTAGTTCAAGCAGTGCGCTGGGAGCTAATGGTATGGGGACAAAAAGCTTAAATGTTTTAAAGCACAGCTGTCTTGTACAGCCTGTTTGTTTTTTTTTTCAGTAAACCTTGACATTTAGATGTTTTGTGTTGAACACTGGATTCTTGGAGATTATTTTTAATTTCTCCAATGCAGACTCATTTATTCTACTCTCTATTATTTAGACAGGCCCCTCATTTCCCAAGGAGTGTTCTTAAAGTCAAGTGCTTTTAAAACGCTTTTAAAATAATGTTCTCGAAGCACATGTCTCCCTGTGTTGGGAGATGTGTCTCCAACCAAGCACGGTTTTCCTTAGCAGCGTTTCACAATTTAGCATGGTAAATCTTGAATCTTTTTTTCTTGATTACTGTTTCCAGTTACATTATAGCACTCACTGATCTTACCTGTCACTGCGTTGGGTTTTTTTTTGTGCTGGGAATTAAACCTGTGGCCTCGAGCATGCTAGGTCAGGACTCTACCACTGAGGCACATCCCCAAGTCCCAGTTAGTGTCTTATTTTAAACTGTTTCTTCTTCAGAGAACAGCTCCTGTGATGGACATGTATTATATAATGGATGGAAATAGGCATGACTCCCAGTAATTCATTGTGGAGGATGAGAAACCATTGTGAAACTGAATTTAAACAGTAACTTTCCCAAGCAAGGCCTACTCGATTTATTTGGGAAAACAGCCAGAGAAGTGCTTTCCTGTCGCCCAATAGAACAGTATAGGTGAGCTTCAGCAGTTAAGATCACTGCCAGTTTGACATGCCTACTCAATAAGCAGGCAGTTACCTTCTAAGAAATACTTCTGCTTGCAGAGATTTAGAGGAAACACGATGGAATAGTCACTAAATGAGTAAGTGTGGTCCCATTTATACTTTAAAAAAAAAGATTAAGTTAGCTGTATTCAGACATCAAATTGTGGGTTGTTAGAATGAGAAGCTTTGCTTTGGGGTTTGTTGAAAGGAAAACTAAAAAACATCCCATTTCATTTTGACTTATGCTATGACTGAATTAATTGAGACAAATGTGAACCATAGCACTGGATGAAGGTGTGCCTGTGTATTTCCAAAGTGACATTTGATGTGGTTGACAGGAAACATGGCTGTTCTTGTAGGGCTGGAATCTTGTAATTTGGGGAAAAGTGTAAGGTACTTGAAACCTGTTTGGAGATCTGTTTAGAATTTCTTCTGCTTGAAAAACCCTGTGTTTTTCAAATGACTTGATATTCAAGACTTGCTTGATATTCATTCCTTGTGGTACTCTTGTCCAGTCTACTGAGGAGTCCTTTTTTGCTTCATTGGTTAAAGTCAGCCAAGTATGTCAGGATTTTAATTCAGTGTTAATATTGGAAACTTAAACGTGGATATTCTCATAGTGCTGTGTTTATGCTTGAAGAAGTAGTACGAGAGATGTTATGTGTGTCTTACATTGTGTCGGAAACACTGATGGAAAAATATCAGGAAGCAAAATATTGTGAATCACACAGTAAGTTCACTGACTGCCAAGTTTCAGAGCAATACACAGTGATTATGTGGGATATAATTTAATTCTGTAGTCTTCAGATCTTTCATTGTCTTAGAGTCAGAGTGCCAAGGTGCCAAGTTCAAATCCTGGCTTGCAGGATTTGCCCTAGGGCAACACGCATAATCGTGTGCGCGTGTGTGTGCGCGCGCGCGTGTGTGTGCGTGTGTGTGTGTGTGTGCGTGTGTGTGTGTGTGCGCGCGCAAGTGTGCACGCAGATGCAGGACTAGGGCTCTAATTCTCGCTTATACTTGATGCTCTGTCAAAAAGCCACATTTCCACTTTGGGCTTTTTTGCAGTTTCATTGGAGATGAGATTCTTGGATTTGTCTGCCTGGGCTGACTTCAAACCTTGATTCTTAGATCTCAGCCTCTTGAGCAGCTAAGGTTACAGACATAAGCTACTGATGCCCAGCTTAACCTTAGATTCTTTTTTTTTTGGGGGGGGGGTCTGGTCCTGGAGCCTGAACTCTGGGCCTGGGCGCTGTCCCTCAGCTCTTCAGTTCAAGGCTAGCGCTCTACCACTTGAGTCACAGCACCACTACGGGCTTTTTTTTTTTTTGCTTATGTGGTGCTGAGGAATTGAACCAAGAGCTTCATGCATGCAAGGCAAGTGCTCTACCACTGAGCCACCTTCCCAGCCCTAACCTCAGATTCTTAACCTTCACCTGTGCCTTTAGTTTGCCATCTGCAAAGAAGGACTAATAACTGTAATACTAAACGTCTTAACTTCTTAGGATGGTTAAATGAGTTAATCCACAGATGAACAGTTCTAATACACGATTAACTGGTTTGCTGACATCTGTTGAACTTTTTTGAGGGGAGAGTAGTGGAGACTGCACTCAGGACCTTGTGTTTGCTTCACAGGTGTTGTATCATTGAGTCACTCCATCAGCCCTTTCTGCTTTGTTTGTTTGTTTGTGCTGGCACTGGGGCTTGAACTCAGGGTCTTGGTGCTCTACCACGTGGGCCATGACTCCAGTTCCTGCACTGGCCATTTCTGAGGTAGGGTCTCACTTTATGCCTGGGTCTACCTAGACGGAGATCCTCCTGTTTGTGCTTCCCCATGTAGTTGGTATGACAGATGCACACCACCACGCACCCCATTGGCTGAAATCACAGTCTTGAGGACTTTTTGCCTTTGTTGGTCTTGAACTGAGATCTTCCTGGTCTCTGCCTCCCAAGTGACTCGGTGACAGGCTGAGCCATTGCACCTGGCATCTGATTAATTTTTTTTTGCCCTGAACACTTGTGTTTTTCTCTTCCCTTAATGTATATTGAACATAGATTGTGTGCTAGATTTCCTCCCTCCCTCCCTCCTTCCTTCCTTCGTCTCTTTCTTCCTTTCTTTCTTTTATATTATTTTCTTGCCAATCCTGGGGCTTGAACCTCAGGGTCTGGGCACTGTCCTTGAGCTGCTTTTGCTCAAGGCTAGCACTCTACCACTTGAGTCACAGCGCCACTTCTGGCTTTTTCTGTTTATTGGTACTTAAGAATTGAACCCAGGGCTTGTTAGGCAAGCACATTCCCAGCCCCAGTCTTTTTTATAATTTTTTTTTGGGGGGGGGCCTTGAATGCATGGCCTGGGTGCTATTCCTAAACACTTTTTGCTCAAGGCTTCTGCTCTACCACTTCGAGCCACAGCTCCACTTCCTGTGCTAGATATTCTCAGTGCTGGCATTATAGCCAGCAAAGCAAAGCAAGTTTCACTCAGAATTCTCATGGAGCTTTTGCCCTGGCTGAGGAGACACATGATAAAATAAGCGAATAAATTGTGCCTGTGTTAGATGTTGATTTGTGTCACGAAGAGAAATGAAAGGGAAGAGGGTTGGGAATGCAGAGATGAGGATGTGGGCAGCTTGTGGACCGTTGGCTGGCCTCTGAGATACCACAGGGATTTCAGCAGGGAATGGCATAATCTGACTGTTGCGTGGGGTCTCAGGGCAGGTGCAATATGAAAATAAGGACCCTTGGCAGGAGCAGCTCTGACCAAAGTGACAGCAACACAGAGTAATTGAGGTAGCTGGGCCTTGGAAGTGTGTTTAGGGTAAGGACTGTTGTGTTTGCTGGTGTCTGAATATGGGATGGGAGCAAAACAAAAGGCGTGAAGTCTGGCTTGAACAACGACAGCGTCAGAGCAATACACAGCCATGATCTGGGATGCCATTTAGTTCGGAGGCTCTTCAGGGCTTTCTTTGTCTTGGAGTGTGTTCTCTGGAGTCACAGGAGTGAAGTTTCCACAACTGAGAGATAGAGTTGAATGTGTTTGGGGGAACCCCAGAAGTAAGTTTAGGAAGAGCAAGTGATTGATTTGGCTGTATAAAAGATGCTGTATAGAATTAGGAGATGGTGAGATCACCAGGGAGTGAATGAGAGTCAGACATCTGAGCCTTGGGGTGCTGATTCATTCAGTAGTTATTTAATAATTATGGCTTTGGGTGCTTTTTTTTTTTTAGAATTGAGGATACAGCAATTAGCAAGGCTGACAAACTGTACCCTTGTGGTACTCACCTTGCAAACAGATTGGAAGGAACACATGTTGGAAGGAATTGGAGAAGGAAGGGAAACCAGCTGATGGTAAGAGTCACTGAGCAAAGGAGCCTGGGGTTTTAGAAGTGGAGGAAAGGAAATCTTCCAGCAGGAGGGAAAGACCGACTATCTCATTGATTAAAGATGTGTCAAAGTGTTGAGTAAGAGACTTTTGCTTGACTGTACTATCTTGTAACAGATGACAGTTGAGACAAATGTGAGAGTCTTTCGTTTTCCCTTCTCTGCATTGATTTTTTTTTTAAGATTTCAGAATGAAATAGTAGCTTGAGAGTTTGTACTTGTACAGAGGACATGTGTGTGGTAGTTTTTGTCATTGTTAATCTTAAGTACACTTGAGAATTTTTAAATTATTTTTTATGTACACTTCTAAAAATAGATAATATATGTACCAAATCAGAAGTCATAAAACAGTATTGGGGAAGAAAAGTCTTCTGTTGTATGTAGTTCCTTTACTCTTGAAGGCAATAGCTGTTTCCAGCATATTCTTCTTACCAGTAAAATTCTCTGTAATAAGATTTCTGTTATTCCCAAATTGTATTAATATTGACCTCTAGTACTACTTTAGAATGGGTTATGATTCTTCTTTTTTTGTTTTTGGAGGTTCTGTGTTTTGAACTCAGGGCCTCACACTTGGAAAGCTGGCCCTCTTCTGCTGAGCTAGGTCTCCAGCCCTTTTAGTGCTGTTTATTTTGTTTGTTTTTGGCCATGGGGCTTGAACTCTGGGCCTGGGTATTGTCCTTGAGCTCAAGGCAAGCGCTCTACTGCTTGAGCCACAGTGCCACTTCCAATTTTCTGGTGGTTAATTGGAGATGAGTCTCAAGGGCTGGGAAGGTAGCTCAGTGGTAGAGCTCTTGCCTTGCATACTTGAGGCCCTGGGTTCGATTCCTCAGCACCACATAAGCAGGAAAAAAAAGCCGGAAGTGGTGCTGTGGCTCAAGTGGTAGAGCACTAGCCTTGAGCTGAAGAGCTGAGGGACAGCGCCCAGGCCCAGAGTTCAAGCCCCACGACCGACAAAAAAAAAAAAAAAAAAAACCTGACAAGAGCCTAGTGGCTCACCCCTGTCATCCTAGCTACTCAGGAGGCTGAGATCTGAGGATCATGGTTCAAAGCCAGCCCAGGCAGGAAAGTCCATGAGACTCTTATCTCCAATGAACCACCAGGAAACCGGAAGTGGAGCTGTGGCTCAAAGTGATAGAATGCTAGCTTTGAGTGGAAAAAGCTCAGGGACAGCACCCGGCCCTGCGTTCAAGCCTTAGGACCAACAAAAACAAACGAAAACTTACCAAGAGCTAGATATTTTATACTCATTCACAGATTTTAGGGATCTTTGGAAGAGCATGTTCTGTCCATTTCATAGGTGAGGATATGTGAGTTAAAGGGGTACAATGGCAGTTTAGGTATCGTTTTAGTATTTTTTTAAAAAAATCAGCATCTGGGTGCTATTAGCTCATTCCTGTAATCCTAGCTACTCAGGAGGTTTAGATCTGAGGATTGCAGTTAAAAATTAGCTAGCTTGGTTAGGAAAGTCCATGAGACTCTTATCTCCAATAAACTACTCAGAAAACCCAGAAATGGTGCTGTGGCTCAAATGGTAGAGTGCTAGCTTTGAGCAAAAAGAAGCTCAGGGACAGCACCCAGGTCCTGAGACTGGCACTCAAGCCCCCGGACTGGCACACACAAAAAAAAACAAAACCAATAAACCAAAACAGAAAAAGGAAGAAAAAAATCAGCTGGGTGCCAGTGGCTCACGCCTGTTATCTTTGCAGCTCAGGAGGCTGAGATCTGAGGATTGTGGTTTGAAGCCAGCCCAGGCTAGAAATTCCCTGTGAGATTCTTATTTCCAGTTAACCACTCAAAACCCAGTTGTGGCACTATGGCTCAAAGTGGGAGAATGTAACCTTGAGAAAAACCTCAGGGACAGCACCCAGGCCCTGAGTTCAAGCCCCATGACTGACAACCCCTCCAAAAAAAAAAACTCATTCTAAGTACTTGATAGAACTCTGGCTATGGTATTGACAAATAACTTAATAGAGATTAACGGGGGATGTAGTTCAGTGGTAGCTTACTTACCTATCTTGCTTGTCATGCATGATCCTGGGTTCTATCAAGAAAACAAGCACTACAAGAAAGTAAAACCTCAAACACCCCAAGCTCTAGAAATACTTCAATATTGAGACCTGGTTTGTACCTACAAGCATATGTTCTGTATATAATTGTTGTGTGTGTTAACATTTTATTTCTTAGAAAATGGAGTTGCCTTACTCTTTTCTGGCTCAGCTTATGCCATCTTCTTAGAACTAATATTTAAACTAAAGACTTTCCTGTTTTTATTCATGTAGGAAGAACAGTTTGTTTTTTAAAAACTGAGATCTTGCCTGTTGAGTAACAGGAGAGAAGAGAACAGAAATAAATAGCCCGACATGTAAGAGACAGTTGATAATTTATGGAATTTGGACATAACTTAAAGATAGAAGAAATAGTTTCTTAACATGAGAGAAAATGTTTTAAAAAAAGACTTTCAGTAGTTGTTTTCAGTCATATTTAACTCATATTCAGATGTAGATTTAAATGTTTATTGCTGCCAGGTGCTGGTGGTTCACGCCTACAATCTTAGCTACTCAGCGGGTTGAGATATGAGGAACCTGGTTCAAAACCAACTCAGGCAAGAAAGATGTTGAGACTCCTAACTCTAGTTAACAACTAGAAAAGTGGAAGTGGCACTGTGGCTCAAAGTGGTAGAGCACTAGCCTCGAGTGAAAGAGCTCTGGGACAGTGTCCAGGCCCTGAGTTCAAGCCCAATGACCAAGCGGGAAAAAAGGCTACTACTTTTTTTTGTTGTTTTTTTTTTGCCAATTCTGATGCTTGAACTGAGAGCCCGGGTGCTGTCCCTGAGCTCCTTTTGCTCAAGGCTTGCTTCTACCACTTGAGCCATGGTACCACCTCTGGCTTTTTCTGTGATTTAATTGGAGATAAGAGTCTCATAGACTTTCCTGCCCAAGCTGGCTTTGAATCTTTGAATCTCAGTCCTCAGATCTCTGCCTCCTGAGTAGCTAGGATTGCAGGTGTGAGCCACCGGCGCTCCACTTGAGTCTTATTATTTTATTTTGATAGTACTGAGGTTTGAACTTAAGGCCTCATACTTTCTAGGCATGCGTTTTACCATTTGAGCAATGTCCCAGGCCTAAAGTAAGTCTTTGATGATCTTGTTTTCTGCATGCCTTTCTGAATATGCCCCAAATGCAAGACCCTGCATTAACTCTGTCTGTTGGTCAGGACTGCTTGCAGACACCCTGGGGGTGAGGTCATGTCTCACTGCGCAAGAGCAGCTTACTGCTTTATATAAAAGTGATGCATTTCCAAAGCTAGGTATTCCTCAGCTGTGTGGTGAACCCCAGAGAACGCAGAGCGCCCCTGTGAGCCCCTCTATTCTCTGTGCAAGGCTTGTAATGGGGAGCCAGTGCAGACATGCTCATGCTGGCTGAGCTTTGAGTAGTAAACTTGTGTCTGCTGCAGGAGACTCATGCTGCTAGTACCCACGGAACACCCACAGGTTAATGTGTTAAGTTGTCAGTAGGGCAGAATAAAACCCAGATTTTACAGTGCTCATCTTGGCTTTGGCCAAGAGGAGCTGTCCTTCCTGTTTTCTGCCATCTTCTTTATATACAGTAGGCGTCCATGTTTGGTGTATTTTTTGTTTTTTGTTTTTGTCGTTCGTGGGGCCTGAACTCTGGGTCTGGCCGCTGTCCCTCAGCTCTTCAGCTCAAGGCCAGTGCTCTACCACTCAAGCCACAGCGCCACTTCTGGCTTTTTCCACTTAAGTGGTGGTGAGCAAGCGAACCCAGGGCCTCATGCATGCGAGACAAGCGCTCTACCACTGAGCCACCTTCCCAGCCCCGGCATCTCTATTTGATGATCCACATCTGAGAAGTCAACTAGCTGTGATTGAAAATTCTCAGAATAGCTGGGTGTGGCGGTTCCTTTCCATAATCCCACACTCAAGAGGCTGAAGCAGGAGGATCACAAACCAGAGGCCAGTCTGTGCGGTAGAGAGAGACACAGACAAGTGAACAAGTGAGCCCGGCACCTGCGGCTCCTATCTTCAATAACAGTTACTCAGGAGGCTGGGATCTGATCTGAGAATCTCTGTTTGGAAACAGACCAGGCAGGCAAATTTAAGGATTGTGGTTCGAAACCAGTCCAGGCAGAAAAGTCCGTGAGACTCTTATCTCCAGGTAACCAGCAAAAAGTCAGAAGTGGAGGCTTAGCCCAAGTGGCAGAGCAACCTGCCAGTCATGATTGGGTGAAAAGTCATGAGAGTGGAAGTCCCTGAGTTCAAGACCCAGTACCAGCAAACCCTGAAATAGCACCAAATGATGAGCGAAAATGAAATCATGTCTGAACGGAGCAGGTAACAGCAGTTAGGTACACAGTATTTTCACTGATTTTGCTGTCATAACTAGTGGTGACGAGGAGTCAGGGAGGAGGGCCTGTGAAGGTTGGATACAGACACAGTGCTACTTTACCTAAGGAACTTGAACAGCTACAGATTTCAACATCCATGGGGATTTCTGCACCTAATCGCTCATGGATACTGACAGATAGCTGTATGTAATCGTAGGAAAAATAGGCTTGTTGGAATCTGCTAAACTGATTTCGCAGCCTACTATCGGGTCATAATCCAAAGTTTGAAAACATCGATTAGCGGATTCTGGGCAAGAGGCATGGAGTCGTCTTAGAAAGTTGTTGTAATTAAGCAGGCAGTGATGGCAGGAATTGTGGGCCGGAGGAGCAAGATGGCTGTCAGGGGTAGTGGGAAGTGAGGTGGGTAGGAATTGTGTTCTTCGATGGTATTGGGAGTGAGGGAGATGTAGTCTTCTGGCCTGGGCAGCCAGGGTCATTGGCTTGACTAGAGGGAGAAGCCAGGGCGAGCCTATAGACTGGGGAGACCAAGGCGCAGAGTTCCCTTTGGGGGCATAATGGTTTGGGGTACATTTAAGAAGGAGAACCGGAAATTTCTACGTGGTGGGATAGAGGGTTCTGATTGTCAGAAGGGAAGGTTTGGATTGGGTATGTAAATTTGGCGTTTGCATTGCGCAGGTGATTTATTGCCATGGGGGCAGCTGTACCAAGGATGGGTTAACAGGGATCCAGGTGTAATTGTGGAGGTGATAAACATTGAATGGAGGGAAGAACACAGAAGGGACGGAGCGTCCGCATCAGCAGGTTGAGTGCTGACGACGTGAGAAAGGCAGTAGAGGAGAAGCAAGGGCTGGAGGGAGTGGAGGGGAACAGGCTCAGGTGAGTGTTGATGGCGTGAGGCAGGGTCGGAGGGCCTGTGTGATGGCTGTCTTCCTGTGATGCTGTCCGACACGGCTGCCTTTCCACAGACTGGGAGGCTTACAAGTCAGCAGACTCCGCAGTCTCTCCTTCCGGGATCTAGGTTTCTCCTTAGTGTGTTAGATGGCCGTCTTCCTCTGGTATCTTCCCATGGTTCACTCTTTTTTTTTAACCTGGCTCACTCTTTTGCTAATCTAATCTCCCTCTTCCTCTTAAATAGAACGTACATCCTCTTTCTCCCTCTCTCCCTCCTTCTCTCTTGTCTGAGACCAGGACTTGAACTTGGTACCTGATGCTTTTGTTCATTGGCTAGTGCTCTACCAACGAAGCCATACCTCCATTTCTAGATGTGACACATTCCCTGTTGCCTTCTATAGAGCTCAGATTACTCATGAAAGGAACCTTACTTCATGACTAGGTTTGTTCTTGGAAAGAACTTGCATAGCACTGTTGGTAGAGCACTGCAGCTCCTGACCGAGGTGTACTGTTGCTGCTTATGAGGTAGAGGGAAAATTTGAGTCTCTTCTTAAAGGTCTGTGTTCTGGGTACTTCCTGTCCCATTTGTTGTTACCCTAGAACTTTTACTGATTCCTTAATATAGCCTGTTAGATTGTCAGTGTGTTCATGTATTTGAAGATTTTTAACCTTCTTGGGTTTGACCAGTATGTCTATAAAACTGTATTTTTAGACCATTGGGCCCAAAGTTCAGGACTCCCACTTTAGATCCAGCCATTTGCCTCCATAATGCCTACGATGGAGACCTGGTGAAGGGCAGAGAAAGATTTATGACAGGGCAGCCATGGGAAGACAGCCCCTCTTCAGTCGTCTTTAGGAGTAGACTTTGGCTCCAGGTTAACCGGGAGAACCAGGGGTAGGAAGTAAGAGAGGCACACGTAGCTGAGCAGTCTCAGTCCACAGGACAGCCTGGTTGACCATTGCTCATTCTTTGGTCTGGTCTGGTCTTCGTTGCTCTACCGTTTAAATAAACTGTCTAGTTTTTGGCTGCTTCCTTTAAGATAAGAAGATGGCCTTGTTTATTTGAGAAACAGTGTGTCTGTCACAAGATGCTTCTCAGTGAGCCCTACCTTTCCTGGACTCCAAGGAGATGGTAAAGTGACTGCCGGAGAGAATGGCTCGGGTCGGAGGACACAGATGCGAAATGTGGGGCCAAGGAGGGCAGAGCGCTCAGCTTCTGATTACAGGACCGGAAAAAGCATCCTGTGCGTTCCTCCTACGTGCAGTCACTTGGATACCAGTTTAAAGGAAGGAACGCTAATGCATATAAAACCCACTAAAAAAAAAAGCAATGAATTTTAGTAAATAAGACTTATGTGAAGCCTGCTGTTACCTGACCTAAGCCAGCTCTTTGGAAGACAGTTAGGAAATCAGAGACCTAGTTAGACTCTCAGGTGCTCCTTGGCTTACCGTGAGTCATGCCCTGATAAACCCCCATCATAAATGGAAAATGCGTGGGATACACACGGGACCTTCTCACGGCGTGCTGGCCATAGTGCAGCGTGGACTTGTCCTTGTTTACCGGCACAGTGTAGACTCTGACTGAGCTGTGGCTTGTGCCCCTGCTCAGCATCTGGAGGGCATGTTTTTAACCATGTTTAGCTGGTTTGGAAAAGATCAAAATTCAAAGTATGGCTTCTGCATGCATTCAGCACTTATACCTCCTGAGGGTGAAGGGAAAGCTCCTGAGAAGGGAAGTATTTGCCACTGGAGGACTACTAACTCTGCGATCTTTTCATTACAGATATGGTGTAAGATACTTCTTCAAGACTGGACAGGTGGAGACCCTTATTTCCGATAGCCTTAAGCTGACGCAAAGCCATAGGAAAAGCTCACGGAGTTCCATTGTTTCCGCTTTACTTTTTTCCTGGCACCTAAGTTCACCTTGCAACCATGTATGGAAGTGCCCGTTCTGTTGGGAAGGTGGAGCCAAGCAACCAGAGCCCTGGGCGCTCCCCTCGACTTCCCCGGTCCCCCCGCTTAGGTCACCGCCGGACCAGCAGCACTGGAGGGAGTTCCGGAAGCAGTGTTGGCGGCAGCAGTGGGAAAACCCTTTCGATGGAGAATATCCAGTCCCTGAATGCTGCCTATGCCACATCTGGTCCCATGTACCTCAGTGATCATGAAAACGTGGGTTCCGAGACACCTAAAAGCACCATGACCCTCGGCCGCTCTGGGGGACGCCTGCCTTACGGCGTTCGGATGACCGCCATGGGCAGCAGCCCCAACATCGCCAGCAGCGGGGTGGCTGGTGGCGACTCCATAGCGTTTGGAGAGCATCACCTCCCTCCCGTCAGTATGGCGTCCACGGTCCCTCACTCCCTTCGCCAGGCACGTGATAACACCATCATGGACCTGCAGACGCAGCTGAAGGAGGTGCTGAGGGAGAATGACCTGCTGCGGAAAGATGTGGAGGTGAAGGAGAGCAAGCTGAGCTCCTCCATGAACAGCATCAAGACCTTCTGGAGCCCCGAGCTCAAGAAAGAGCGGGCCCTGAGGAAGGACGAAGCCTCCAAAATCACCGTTTGGAAGGAGCAGTATAGAGTCGTGCAGGAGGAGAACCAGGTGGGTTCCAAACACGTGTGTCTACTTCGATGGTCAGAAATTTGTGCATAGAAATGAAATAGGCCATTCCTCTCCTGTTTTAGAGTAAATACTTCTTCTCCAGTAGAGATGTGGTCTTGCTCTGTAGCCTAAACTAGTCTCCAACTCTTGATTCTTTTGCCTCCACCTCCAGAATGCTGGGGTTGCAAGTGTGTGCCACCAAATCTGTTTGAAGCTGTAGCCTTCAGGGGTAGAGTATGTATAAATACATAATACTTGAAGTGGACTTGAGGTACCTGGATCTCTTGTTGCATTCGCTAAGCACCGGGGTACCTTGGTGAGGATGCTGTAGACACATTTCTATTTTACTGAGCAAAGTTATTGACCTAATTTTCTTTTTAATGTTGAAGTAATTGAGGCATTTGTTTATACTGATAGCTTCGAAGCTATACAGAACAAAAGCCTCTTGCAGTATTTTTTCCAATTAGGAAGCTACATTCAAACTTAAAATATTGAGTCTCCAAAAAAAACCCCATTGTGGGCACTTAGCACTTCCGTGCAAGAGAAACATCCACAGGGTTTTCATGCCAAAAAAGCCATATGTGCCGAAGAAGGGTGAGCACTACCTCGTCTAGATTCCACCCCTTGCCCTAATTAAACACCAGTGCCAGCAGGAATAGATTCTTCCCGCAACCACTATAATTACCACACAATCCTAAAATTGTATAACTTTGGTCCAAAAAATAAAGGGTGCAATTTTAAAGTAAAGCAAGACACTGCAATGAGATACAAGAGACTGAGAATGCTAATTAATAGATTATAGCCAGCCAGCAGTGAACCCTAATTAACTCTGCAGTCATCATACCCTCCGTAGCTTTCAGAGGTCAGACATCTTCCACTTTACCAAGATTGGCTTAATAGGATTTACAGTAATTAAATAAGGTTCCGCATTTCTGTCTGAGACCGGGGATTTGGGTCCATTCTAAGTATTTGATCTGATGGGACCACAGAGATCTGTTTCTAGTCCTATGTAAGAACACATTTGCCTAGAATTGCCTGATGTGTGTGGTTTATTATTATGGAATCCTTACAGAAGATTGTTTCTTCAACAAAAATACACAGCTCTTTTTATATCTATCTTTTTGTTATTAAACTTTCAAATAACTGGTGGTTGGTGAGCTAAAAGTCTTTACCCTATTAATAGTGAGGACTTTCTTTTTTATTAAATTGAGAATAAGAATAGCTTTTAGAGTATGTCTGCTAGAGAAAAAAATGAAAATTCAGCTGTGAGTTTGGTGGAATTGCAGAACTAATAAAGGTTTGGATAAGTTACATTTTTTTTTTTTTTTTTGGCCAGTCCTGGGGCTTGAACTTGGGAGTCTGGGCACTGTCCCTGAGCTTCTTTTGCTCAAGGCTAGTGCTCTACCACTTGAGCTACAGCACCACTTCGGGCTTTTTCTTTTTTTAGTTGAGATAAGAGTTTCACGGAGGGGCTGGGAAGGTGGCTCAGCATGCTTGCCTTGCATGCATGAGGCCCTGGGTTCGATTCCTCAGCACCACATAAGAAAAAAGAAAAAAGCCAGAAGTGGCGCTGTGGCTCAAGTGGTAGAGCGCTAGCCTTGAGCTGAAGAGCTGAGGGACAGCGCCCAGGCCCAGAGTTCAGGCCCCACGACTGGACCCCCCCCCCAAAAAAAAAAAAAAAAAGTCTCATGAATTTTCCTGCCCAGGCTGGCTTTGAATCATGATCCTCAGATCTCAGCCTTCTGAGTAGCTGGGATTATAGGCGTGAGCCACTGGTGCCCAGCTTACCGCTTTCCCCCGCCCCCACCTTTAATTTTTATCTCAATTTATATCTGTCTTTGTTCCCACTATTTCACAGAAACTAGAAATAGCTAGTGCAAATGACCAATGGCTGTTTGCCTGTCCTCCTCTTGTCTAGCTCTCCTAGTTGTCTATTGTTTCATGGATTCTGTGGGCCAGGAATCTGGGTGTGGTTGGTGCCTCTGATTCAGGTCTCCTGTAAGGCAGCAGCAGAGGTGCTGACTAAGGCTGTGTTCATTTCCACGCCTGAGCCCCCTGGAGGAGGCCCAGCTCCTGGCCTTCCTCACATGCCTCGCAGTGGGCCTCTGCCTCCTGTCTTTGTGGGCTGTTTGCTGCCAGAATCATTTGAGCGCCTTCACCGTTTACTTACAGCTTCTCCTGTATCTTTTGTATCCATGACCGGGGGAGGGAGAGGGGCATACTAGCCTGAGTCTTCTTGTAACCTAATCTTGGAAGCCACGGCTATGGAGCTGGCTGATTCTGTCACTAGATCCAGCCCACTCTGCGGATTTCATGGAGGCATGAGTGCTGGTGGCAGAGAGCATTCTGAGACATGCTAACCCTCGCTCTGACAGACAGCAGGCGCCGACGCTGGGTCTCTCCTCTGTAAAGTGCTCTTCTTTGGGGTTCTCAGAGCGCGCTTGTGTTTTTCTTGTTTGGTCTCTGGCTTCTGTCATGTCACCTTTCTTTTTTTCTTTTCTTTTTTTTTTGGGGGGGGG